ATCATGAAACAGACGTTTTGCAATTTTACTAATGAGAAAAATGAGAACTTAAATTTCTTGAATAATTCTTTTTTTTACTATATCATAATGCTCCCTCAAAAAGCTTATAAGTTTGATGACATCAACTTACAAATCATCATGTAGAAAATGAAAAAAAAATTGTAAACTTTTACAATGAATTATAGAAGTATTGATGTTCACTACCATTAAGCACATAATTGTATTTTAACATAAATATGGCAAGTGTATTTCGTCTCTCTCCTTTGCTGGTTTTGATATTTTCTTCGCTTATCGGTAATGCATTTTATTTTGGACAAGACTCTTGCAGTGGGTGAAAACATTGGAGGAAACAAGCTTGCAAACAAGCTGGAACACCTTTAAACAGTTGGTGTTTTAGAGCAAAATTTCCATGAAAACGCTCATTGATAGCATTTAGAAGTTCACTGATTTTTCCCATCACTGCAGTATGATATGTTGAATTTTCATTAGCAGAGGAGAAACTGACAACTCATCTGTTTATGTGGGGTGCAGACAGGGGAAATAGGATTTTTTTTAAAGAGCACAGGTACAGTAACAGCAAAGGAAAGCAAAACTACGTTTACAGAAAACTCATGGGGCAGCTGTTGTGGCACAGCAGGCTAAGCCTCTGCTTGGGATGTCCACTTTCCACATCAGAGTGCTTGGGTTCAAGTCCCACCTCCATTACAGAGCCAGCTTATGGCTAATGGGCCTGCGTGGCAGACAATGGCCCACGTATTTGATTCACTGTCACCCATGTGGGAGACCTGAATTGAGATCCTAACTCCTGCCTTTGGCCTAGCACAACCCTGGCTGTTGCAAGCATTTGGGGAGTAAACCAGAAGAAGGAAGATCTGTTTATCTGTCAATCTCTCAGTTTCTCTGTCTTTCAAATAAATCGAAATGTATGTTTATCTGCTTAAAAGTCTTTTTGATGTCAATTTGTAGCCCAAAAAAGGACTATGACATAATGAACACAAAAAACATGTATAAAATATTCTTAGTCATACATTTAGGACAGAATGGATCGCTGCAAATTCATTCAAACCATAGCTTCAAATTCCTCTCTCTGTTAGAGTCTCTGGGGACCACAGGTATGCATATATTCATAAACAAATCATGGAAATGTTTAATAAGATTACTTCCCTTTTTCTTGTCTTTTTCTCTTAGTTCTTTGCATATTCTCTCTTGCCTCAATCATACATAATATCCTGACATTTTAGGACCCAAAAAGCAATTTAACCTCTACAGTTGAAATAGATCAACAAAAAGATAAAAAATATTATACCTCAAAACCTAAGGTAGGCACAGAACATATTTCTACATGAGTCAAAAGCCCAGAAAGTGAGAGATCAGCTTTGCTTATACCCTGGCCAGCCTCTATTAAGCATTTTTTCCTCCCTTTTCTTGCTCTCTCACCACCACCTCTCCCCTGTTCTGGTGTTCCCCTGAAGTAGGTTACTGTCATTGCGCTGACAACTATTATATCTGAATAAAATCAGTGAGCATTTACTAAGTGCCTGCTGTTCCCTTGTTCTCTCCATTAGTACGTATGGATGCCTACACTATGCCTGGCACTCCTTGGGGAGAGGACATGCTCACAGACAACAGACAAAAACAGAAAGGGAAAGGGAGGGAGAAGGAAGAAGAAAGAAAACAGTGCTTAGGGCCATGGCGGAGAGATTACCACACAATATTAGGGAGACAGAGCATGGAATCACTACAGCGCAGAGCGTGGCGAACGCTGTGATGGAAAAATGGGAACTGCAGGACATTAGGAGAGGGCTGCAACATTTTTTCAGGAAGTAATTTTTTTTTTCCTTTTAAAATTCCAATCCCTAGTCAACCTAGCATAATATTTTAAATGTGGAAGTCATGGCTTTCTGTTGCAAGTGATTGAAACCCAACTCAAATTGGCTTAACTAAAAGACAAGATCGGCTTGGGGAAATCAGGGAAATTTGGATCCAAATGCCCCAACAATGTGATCAAGACTCACTTCCTGGGGCTGGTGGTGTTGTATAACAGGCTAAGCCTCCACCTGCAGCACCAGCACCCCATGTGGGCTACAGTTCAAGTCCTGGCTGTTCTACTTCCCACCTAGCTCGCTGTTAATGGCCCATGAAAGCAGTGGAAGATGGCCCAAATGCTTGGTCCCCTTCACCCATGTGGGAGACCTGGAAGAAGCTCCTGGCTCCTGGCTTTGGCCTGGCCCAGACCTGGGAATAAACCTGCAAATGAAAGATTCTCTCTCTCTCTCTCTCTCTCTCTCTCACTTTCTCTCTCTCTCTCTCTTTCTCTCACTCTGCTTTTCAAATAAATAATAAATACATCTTTTTCTAAAAAAAGATTTACTTCCTTTCTAACTGTCTCTCTAAGGAATGAATTTCCAAAGAAAACAGGGTGTGAAAAAGGCAAGCCAACCAACAGATATGCATTATGCCAAAGTAGCTATTTACCTTTTATTTTTCCAGCTCTACTTCAGGAAGTTTAGAAAGTCAAGAAACCAGGTCTGCTTTTCCTTTGTCTTCCTAACAGACCGGGAGATACTGATCATAGTCACTCTGAAGTGGGTATAAGGCACCAACTATGGACATGATTCTAGTTTCTTGGAAGTCAGTTTGTCAATGTGGGTTTTATTCACTCATAGGAAGTGCTATGCATCTCTTGACTGTAACACATATCCCTGAAAGAATATGTATCCACAAACATAGCAAAATACAACAAGAAAGATGCATTGATTGGGACCAGTGCCTGCAGTGCCAGCATCCCATATGGGTCCTGCCTGCTCCACTTCTGATCCAGCTCTCTGCTATGGCCTGGGAAATCAGTAGAAGATGGCCCAAGTGCTTGGACCCCTGAACCTGCGTGGGAGACCGAGAAGAAGCTCCTGGCTCCTGACTTCGGATCAGCACAGCTCTGGCAGTTGCGGCCATCTAGAGAGTGAATCAGCAGATGGAAGACTCTCTCTCTCTTTCTCTCTCTCTCTCTCTCTTTCCCGGCCTCAGCCTCTCTGTAACTCTGCCTTTCAAATAAAATAAATAAATCTTACAAAAAAAAAAAGAAATTAAACAAAATACAAAGAAGAAAATAAAAATCACACATAATTACACTTCGCAGACATAATTACAATTTTGAACTTTCACAATTTTGATTAATGTTTATTTTCAGTTTTGTATTACTTTAATTTTTTTTTTTTTTTGACAGACAGAGTGGACAGTGAGAGAGAGAGAGAGACAGAGAGAAAGGTCTTCCTTTGCCGTTGGTTCACCCTCCAATGGCCGCTGCGGCCAGCGCGCTGCGGCCGGCATACCGCACTGATCCGATGGCAGGAGCCAGGTACTTATCCTGGTCTCCCATGGGGTGCAGGGCCCAAGCACTTGGGCCATCCTCCACTGCACTCCCTGGCCACAGCAGGGAGCTGGCCTGGAAGAGAGGCAACCGGGACAGAATCCGGTGCCCTGACCGGGACTAGAACCCGGTGTGCCGGCGCCGCAAGGCGGAGGATTAGCCTAGTGAGCCACGGCGCCGGCCTACTTTAATATTTTTACATGTCTTCTCATTTCTGAATTTTTTTAGAATTCTAAAAAATGGACCAACTGAATCAAAGTATATAAACATTTTAACTATTTATTTTCACTTTATATGAAAGGCAGAGAAAGATACCCACGTATTGGTTCACTCCTCAAATGCCCACTATAGCCAGGGACTGGAACTCAATCTGGTTTTCTCAGGAGGGGTCAGGGACCCCGAGCTTGAGCTATTATCTGCTGCCTCCAGGGTGCGCATTAGCAGGGAGCTGGGTAAGACACAAAGGAGCTGGGTCTCAAACCAAGCACTCCGAGATGCAGCCTGCATTATATTTTTTAAAAAATCTTCCTCCGGCTATTCTTTTTTAAAAGACTTATTTTTAAAGGCAGAGAGAGAAAGGAAAAGGCAGACAGAAGTCTCCCATGCATTGGTTCACGCCCCACCTGCCTACAACAGCCAGGGTTGGGCCTGCTGGAAGCCAGAACCTGGAAGCCTGAGCCGGGTCTCCCACACAGGTGGCAGGGTCCCAACTACGAGGGCCATTAGCCCGCCTCCCGGGTGCTCTGGCGTGGGAAGGCGAGATAGGGAGTGGAACCGGGACGCCAGCCCAGGTGCTCTAATATGCGATGTGGGTGTCCCAAGCTGTGTCTAACTGCAGCGCCAACGATAAACATTAAGTGTCTTGATATGTAAGGCCAACTGCATTTTTTCGAAGGCTTGTACTAATTAATGCTCTTTCCCAGCAGGCTACAGGAATGCCTGCTGTCACACTCATCTGAGGTACTAGTTGAAAATCATACTTTACAAATTTGACCGATAAAACATTATATTGTTGTCACAAAACAAGTTGAGTGAAAGAAGACAGATTAAAAAAGAGTATACAACGTTTTTTATATAAAACGCTGGAAAATGCAAATTCAAGAGTGACTGAAAGCAGATTAGTAGTTGCATGGGGACCAGGAGTGGGGCAGTGGGAGGGAGGGCTCCTAAGGGGGACAAGAAAAATACAAATCTGGGATTTTTTTTTCATATTCTTTACCATATTTTTGGTCTGGAAAAAAATAAATATTCTCTTGGATTTATGTGACCTCTTTACGAGTTAAAAAAATTCCCATGAAAGTTGTCTAGAGTTGTTTTTTCCTGCGATTTTGTGCGCTGTGACAGCGTTTCCGGAAGGGCTCGTCTCTGGGGGCAAGATAATGTGGATTAAGTGGGATGTACTATAACCCTACATCGTTCATCATCACTTTGCAACGCAAACAGAAATCTTTCAAATGAAATTCAGAGAAGGAAATACAGGGCATTCAGAACTGACATCCAACACGCACTGCACATCTGCTCCTCCTCCTCCGGCTGCTTACCCAGGAAACCCAAGTGGAGAGGGCCACGGATGAGCTCACGCTGGCATGACGTCAAGAGCCTTGACGTCAGAAGGCGGTTGCCACGGGGACCGTTCGCCACCGACGGCAGAGTCGTGAAACCCCATCACCACACCGCTCGCCTCCGTTTCGGCCTCTGCAGGGTCTAAGCTGCTACAGAAGCTTTAACCTTAAGGGGGCCTCAGGGAGAGAGGAGTAGTGCTGCCGCCGCCGAGAGCTCTACCTCCGTGGCCCTGGGTCCTGGGCCCCGGTCTGTGGCGGTGAGCGGCGGCCGCCGGAGGCGAGCGGCGGCGGCAGCTTCGGCGGGCGGCCCGTCCGGGTCTCCCTCGCTCCGTGCGGGGCCCGGAGAGGGGAGCCGCCATATTGGAGCCGGAGCCGAAGGCGCCTTGGAGCGGCGGCGCGAGGCGGGTGGAGGTGGCGGCCCTGGCCTCGACCGGGGAGGAGTCGCCAGTGCTGCGGCCCGCGAGGCTGGGGAGTGAATGAGCCGCTCGGGCTAGTCGCTTCCCCGCCCACTCTCTCCACTTTCTGCGGCGGGAGGTGGCCGCGGGAGCGGCGGCGGCGGCGGCGGCGGCAGGATGTTCTCCAAGAAGCCGCACGGGGACGTGAAGAAGTCCACCCAGAAGGTGCTGGACACCAAGAAGGACGCGCTGACCCGCCTCAAGCACCTGCGCATCGTCATCGGTGAGGGGCGCGGGTGGCGGCGCCGAGGCCTGGGCTGCCCGGCCTTCCCTGCCCGGGAGCCCCGGGGGGAAGCTCCCTGGGGACCCGGCGCGGCTGCGGGAGGAGAGCGCAAAGCGACGCCTCGGTGAAGGCGACGATTTGGGGAAGGGGAGACTTGGCACTCGGCGGGCGCCGGTTAGCATTAGCGCAGGGATTTCTAATTTTGAAACAGGAGCATTACTCTGGAAACTTAGATGTTTAGGAACTTCGGGTGGACTTCGTGGTGCGGGTAATGCTGTTTGCAGGTTCTGACTGCCGTCCCCACCCGAGTGGAAGGAGAAACAAAATCCCCTCTCAGACAGTATAAAGCTTAATCTCTGAAGTTTGTTGGCAGGTGAGGGCAAGGAGGAAGCAGTTATACCTCTTTGGGAAGTGGGTGGTTCCCGAAAAGCTTGTGGGGAAGAGCCCCGCCCTGCTGTTAAGGCGTCTCGTTCCTCCTGGCTGTCATTTAGAGGAGAACTATTATTAGTTGTGGAAAACAAGGTAGTTTATTGCTTCCTTTGCTTCTCGAGAATTGTGTATAATTCCGTGTTTATTTAATTGTTTTGCCTCCTGCTGGCAGGCTAGACGGTGCTGTGAGTTTGTGATATAATGTAAAGGACTCTTTCTGATACTTGGTCATTTAATAGGCTGATAGAGACTGTCATCATCCTCACAGGACATCTGGCCCAGAACTTGTTGTTGTTGTTGTTGTTTTGAATTAAGAAATTTGAGCTGAAAAGGGAAATCGGTTTGATGTGCAAACTGGGTTGGAACCCACCTGCCTGAATCCTAGTTCAGAGTTAATCATCTCCAGCTGGTTTCCTAATAAGCATTTGCCTTGGGAAGTGGTTTGCATGTAGTGATATAAGTCCTTGTGTGCACTGTTTCTCTACTGTGTACCGGTACCACCAGGATACCTCCCAGAATACCCAACACTTGGATGATGCTTTACTGCTTACAAGTTGAGTTCACATAAATTTTCATAATTAATCCTTGCAGTAATCCTAGTGATGTAGTGCTCTGTTGTTTTTATTTGTTTGCTTTTTTTGTTTTGTTTTTTTTTTAACAAATGAGAAGCTGAAGTTTGGGAATGTTAGGTAGTCATCAGCTCCTAGGAAGCTGAGTCAGACCTGGGGCTCAGATTTTGTGTGTCTGGTTTATTATTATTATTATTTTTTTAACTCTTCTGCATTTGTGACACCTAATCTCTATCACAAGCAAATTTTTTTCTTGTGGAATAGTAAGAAAAGTTACATCCAGCTCAGTGGTATAAAAAGAAGCCCAGTTTTCAAGCAAATAGAAACTTTTCAATATAGTAGATATTGTACTTTTCTTGTTTTCATGCTACTTGAAGAGTTAAGTCACTGAAGAAAAGATTTGGCTGATAGTGGGACCTTGCAAGTGTGAATGTAGGAGATATATCACAGATAATGGCACTGTGAAACTGAACACTTAATGGAACTTGACACCTAACTTGAGACAAGCTGTAGGTTGTGTAATGGCAGAGCTATAAAGTTGAGTTCCAGTAGAGTATTGAGATTTCCTAAATTAACTGCCATGGTTCTGTAGAATTCATCCATACCTATAGAATGATTAAGAAATGCTTTATATTGCTATTAAGAGATAACAGGTGTCAGGTATTTTGTTGGGCCTAAGTTCCTCAGTTTGAAAACAAAACAATTTTAAAAAATCCTGTCTTATTTTTAGTAAGTTAAGGACTGTTTTTTTAGTATGACATCTTGTGTGTGTGTGTGTGTGTGTGTGTGTCTTTGGGGGTGTGTGTGTGATAATCATTTAAAATAGCCTTCAGAGCTTCAGATGGTGAGAATACTGCGCTGTGAGTGGAGGAGGTCCATGCAGAGAGACTGCCAGTCAGCGGTTGTAGAACAGTAGTTCAAACTGGGGACATTTTGCCCAACAGGAGAGAGCTGGTGAAGTCTGGAGCTACAACCTGGAAGAAGTGCTGCTGGCATCTAGTGGGTAGCAAGGATGCTGCTGAACAGTTTCCAGTGCAGAGGACAGTCCTTCACAGTGCTATTCCAGCTCTGAATCTTACTAATCTGAGGTGTAGGAGCAGGCATGTGGCACAGCAAGTCAGTCACCACTTGGGACGCCTGCACACCATGTTGGAGTTCCTGGTTCAAGGCCCGACTCCTCTGCTGCCGATCCAGCTTCTTGCTAATGTGTACCCTGGGAAGCAACAGAGGATGGCTCAAGTATTTGGGTCTGTGCCACTCACATGGGAGATCTGGATTGAGTTCCAGTCTCCTGGATTCAGCCTGACCCAACCCTGGCTACTGGGGAGTGAGCCAATGGATGGAAGATCTCTCTTCGCTCCATCTGTTTCTCTCTGTGTCTATGAAAATAAAAAAAAATGTATTTGGCAAGGTTTAGAAACCTTGTCAAAATGTAAAAGGTGAACCTCCATGTATTGTGTTGAATTGAATAAAGTAGTCTATATTTTATTTTAAGTATTTATTTGAGAGGGAGAGAGACAGATGGACGGAAAATTCGCATCTCCTGGGCTACTCCGCAGAAGCTGTGACGGCTGGGGGTGAAGCCAAGATCTGGTAGCTCAGTCGAAGTCTCCCAGTCTCTTGAACCATCACTGTTGCCTCCCAGGGACTGCATGAGCAAGAAGCTGCAGTCAGGAGCTGGAACACAGGTACTATGGCATGGGATGCAAGTGTCCAAACTGCTAGGCTAAAACTTGCCCGTGTTTTATATATATATTTTAACAATTTATTTATTTGAAAGCCAGAGTTACAGAGAGAGGGACGAACAGACAGATCTTACATCCCCTGATTCACTACCCAGATGGCCGCGATGGTTGGGGCTGGGCCAGGCTTGAAGCCAGAAGCTTCATCTGGGTCTCCCATATGGGTGCAGGGGCCCAAGCACTTGGGCCATAGTCCGCTGCTTTTCCCAGGCCATTAACAAGGAGCTAGATCAGAAGTGGAGCAGCTGGGATTTGCACTTATATGGGATGTGGGCTTTGTAGCCGGTGGCTTACCTGCTATGCCACAATGCCAGCCCCATATTCTATATTTTTAAAAGGTTTCAGTTATTTTGCAGAATGCCAAAAACATGCTGCTTGGTGTCTTAGAGTTCCACTAGTCAGTAATCTGGGAAGAGCCACTTTGCATTATTTTGGAAGTAGGTAGGGTTTTAAATATGTTAATCCTGATGAGAACACTTTTGTTTTCAGAGTAACTGGATGTTGTTAGTTACAAAGGATTTTGATTTTTGTTTGGTCACACTTGAACTATATGAGACCAAACAGAACTGCCACTTACTCAGGATAGTTAATAGAATTCATTACATTCAAATATATGAGAACATGATCATAACTTAAATATCTAGTATAAACATTTTTCCTAACATGTGTTCCCACTGAAGTACAATTCCTACAAAATTTATAGGACCTAATTCTGAAGAATTTTGGTTTAAATCTGTGTTTGTTGACATTGCTGTGTCTGATTTGTAGGATCTAGAAGTCAGTGTTTTCTTAAGAGAAAAAGGCCTTAACTAGTTTCTAAAGTTTTGTATTGGTCTTTTCACCCCATTTTGCAACTAATATCCTAAAGATAATGATAGTAAATTAGCACATGTGCATTGCCTAACCTGCTTGGCATATTGTGGATATTGACTGAATGTTGTTGTTTTTTTTTCCACTTTCAAATGGCAGGCTGACTTTATTTAAAACTAAATGGACAGGGCTTATTTAGCTAAGAATATATTGATTATTGTTAGAGTATTTTTTCTGCCAGCTTTATTGAAATTAATTGGCAGACAGTAATAAAAATGTAACCAATTTTGACATGTGTGCCTTATGAAACCATCATAACAATCATATACCCAATCAAGATAACAAACCTAACTAGTCATTCAAAATAGTGACTGTATCTCTATCCCACCCCTCATTTCCTCACATCCTTTTGTAATCCCTTCCTCCCACCTCTGATTACATCCTTCCTATCTTCCTATCTTTCCCTGAGTAACCACCAATCTGCTGTCACTCTAGATTAGTTTACATTTTAAAAGTTTTACATAAATTATGGTATATAAATGGAATTATACAGTGCAGTGTCATTTTTTGGTTGGTTTCTTTTGCTAACCTAATAATTTTGAAATTAATCCATATTGCAGTACAGTGTGTCAGTAGCTCATTGCTTTTTATTGCTGAATAGTGTCCATGTGTGGCTATACACTAGCACAATTTGTTTATCCATTCACCTGATCATAGACATAAGGGTTGTCCTGGACAGCTACAAATGAAGTTACCCTGAAGTGTGGTTGTTACATAGACATATGCTTTCTTTTTTCTTGGATAATATCTAGTAGTGGAACGGCTGGATCATATAGCAGTTGTATGTTTAATTTTTAAGAAACTTGTCAGGGCCGGCGCCGTGGCTCACTAGGCTAATCCTCCGCCTTGCGGCGCCGGCACACCGGGTTCTAGTCCCAGTCGGGGGCCGGATTCTGTCCAGGTTGCCCCTCTTCCAGGCCAGCTCTCTGCTGTGGCCAGGGAATGCAGTGGAGGATGGCCCAAGTACTTGGGCCTTGCACCCCATGGGAGACCAGGAGAAGCACCTGGCTCCTGGCTTCAGATCAGCGTGGTGCACTGGCCGCGGCAGCCATTGGAGGGTGAACCAACGGCAAAAGGAAGACCTTTCTGTCTCTCTCTCTCACTGTCCACTCTGCCTGTCAAAAAAAAAAAAAAAAAAAAAGTTGCCAGATTTTTTTTTAACCTTTTTACAGTCCCACCGTGAGAAATGAGAATACCACTTTTTCCACTTACTCACCAGCACCATTCCATGTGGCCAGTATTCTTAATTTTTGCCACTATGATAAGTGTGTCCTTAAAATTCACATTTCCCTGGTGTGTAATAACATGAATATGTGTTCAGGGGCTTATATGCCATTGTATAACTTGATTATTTCTGTTCAAATCTTTTTTTTTAATTTTTAAATTGAGT